AAACCTAAGATACTAAAACAGTTCAAGGATGGTCTGAATACTCTCAATGTTGGACACTGTAACAACCAGTAACACTACCATTTACCATATTACCACAAGTTTTATAACATGAAATAATTCAATTAGTGGGGTAAACTGACCTTCTCAATGCTCAGGTTGCTACCCTAAGGGAGATGAGGCAAAGATCACTCCTACAGGGGAGTTGGTAGAGGTTAAAATTTAGCTTTGCCTTATCTATACCTATCACTGCCTGTTTTAAGAAGACTCACTCGGTGAAGGGTTCCTGAAGCCTCCCTATTTCTACCTTCGTGAGCTCTGGTGAATATGATACCAGGTCATGTTTCATGGTATATTAAGCTGGTAGAGGAAGTTTCTTAGGAAAGTGAAAACGGAGGAGATTGGTTGGGGGAGAGCTGGTAGGCATTATCTTTTCAACTCAAATAAATGGCAATTTTACACCCTATATTTCTTAGCTCCATTCAACATCTAGTTCCCTTTAGACACTAGTGACTAATTTCTTTATCTTACACAGCCTCCTGAACGTTACCACTTCTTAACCTTAGAGCTTCATTTTGAAGTTGTTGCTCCCACCAGGAAAATTCTGCAATGGAAGGCAGTTACTTCCTTCTCTCTTTTCTTTACCAGTAACTTTACCATATTTTTCCCCCAATGATTCCTCCTAGGATGAATAAGTTTGTTTGTTTGTTTGTTTTTGACAGGCAGAGTTAGACAGTGAGAGAGAGACAGAGAGAAAGGTCTTCCTTCTGTTGGTTCATCCCCCAAATGGCTGCTACAGCTGGCACGCTGCGCCGATCCGAAGCCAGAAGCCAGGTGCTTCCTCCTGGTCTCCCATGCGGGTGCAGGGCCCAAGGACTTGGGCCATCCTGCACTGCCTTCCCGAGCCGCAGCAGAGAGCTGGACTGGAAGAGGAGCAACCGGGACAGAATCCGGAGCCCCAACTGGCACTAGAACCCAGGGTGTTGGCACTGCAGGTGGAGGATTAGCCTAGTGAGCCGTGGCACTGGCCAGGATGAATAAGCTTTGAGGGAAATTATTAGTATCCAATAAAGTCATTTGACAAATATTACATAAGGCCTATTATTAAGCATTTTGCTTATTGCTGGGTTCGGTTGTGATCCAGTCATATTCAGTCCTTCTCCTTTAGAATCCTGTAGACTCCTGGTAAATAACAGCAGCTTACACAAAACATGAATAAGATGAATTTGCTCTTGTTGGACACTGCATTGTATACACTATCATATTTAAATCTCATCAACATGGCTATTAATATAGCTCAATTTTGCAGACGAGAAAAACTGAAGATCGCTCAAAGCCACACGAGTCATACAAGGAATAGGCCAAATTGGGACTTGACTGCAGGTCTGTCAGATGCTAGCTTAACCACACATAGATCCTCTCTGTGTCACACACAATTTCTCACGAGATAGGACCTTAGGGCCCAGCATATTAGTAGCTGAAGTACAACCAATCTACTATTTTGCTAAAGATTCTAGTGAATATTTTGGTTTGCAAATGTAAAGGATTCTGTGAAGCTCAACCTTAAACAAATTATGGCAGAGAGCTGAGAAAGGACATCTGCAGACAGAAAACTGTGGCCGGATGCTCTGCGGGTGGGTAAGACAGACGTGCAGTCAGGTGACTTCAAGAAGAGGAAGCAGTGACAAGTTGAGGTAGGAGGCACTGACAGAATCAGCCACCTGGACCCCAAACCACAGTGGAAGGAGGTTATCTTAAACATTGTAAGCACTTTTATCAGATTATACAGATGTAATTAGGATATAAGCTTGCTTTCCTTTGCCCATATGATTGAAGTGATTATTTAAATGAATTTAAAAATCTTTTTTCCCAAAGTATGTCTGATTTATGTATTTATTCGTTTATTTGAAAGGTAGAGTTACAGAGAGGCAGAGGAAAAGAGACAAAGAGAGAGGTCTTCCATCCGCTGGTTCACTTCCCAAATGGCCACAACGGCCGAGCTGGGCCTATCTGAAGCCAGGAACCAGGAGCAACTTCCAAGTCTCCCTCACGGGTGCAGGGGCCCTTCTACTGCATTCCCAAGCCATAGCAGAGAGCTGGATCAGAGTGGAGCAGCTGGTACTGCAACTGGTACCCATACAGGGATGCCGGTATTGCAGCTGATGGCTTTACCTGCTATGCCATAGCACCTGGCCCAATATGTCTGATTTAAAGAGGTAGAAATTATCTCAGGATTAAAAGTCAGGAGCTCTAAATTATTTTTCTGATACACACCAATTAGTTTAGGTGAAGGATCTTTTGCAAGTTTTTTCACATCTCTTATTCTAAATTTCTTCCTTTCTATAACAAGGGAATTGGGCTACTGAACCTTAAGAACTGTTGAAGTTTCAAACTTCTCTGATACTATGATTTATTGGAAACCTATACTGTCTCTAGTACTACATTAAACAACTTGCGGTTTAGACATAACTAGAAGGTACATTTCTAAGACTTTTAACGTATGTTATCAATATAGTGGCCACATGTGGCCATGGAACACTTGAAATGTACTTTGCATGACTGAATTTTAAATTTTATATCATCTTAATTAAATTTAAGAAACTAATACTGCATTCAGTTTTTGAAAACCTTTACTTTTAAACAATTTAAGGATGTGACTCTGCTTTTCTCAATAATAAAATTTTTGAGATCTAAATATAGATCAGATGTTCTTGATGAAAATTTGGTTTCCAAATTAGGGCACGCTATCAGTATAAAATAAACACAAGATTCAAGACAATATAAAAAAGAAAATGTCTCCATAATTTTTATATTGTTTATATGAAGTGGCAATATTTTGGATATATTAGGTTAAATAAAACATATTAATTCAATCTGTTTTTACTTCTCAAAATGTGGTTACAAATGTCTTTGACATTTATTATGAACAGTTTTAGGCATTAAACTCTATAAACTATTGTAGGTGTTTGGATTCGCATACTGGGCTGAGTCAATCATGGGTGTTTTGGAGAAAAGAATTGTGTCACTCTTTAAGGAAGGCACCTGTACCAGTCTGAGTCACTACTCTCATCAGGAAAGACTTGCCTAAATTACCCTTGCTAACAGGGTTTGTTTCAATAGAGTCAGATAATGTGAGGTCTCCAGGAGTCTCTCTGGTTAATGCTCCCCAAATTGGGATGGGCCATAGGCACCGGGGATAAATGTACTGTCATGTCTCCATCTGAGCATATCCAGCACTCTTACCTCCAGAGAGGGGACCCGTTAGGAGGAGCCTATTTCCATTCAGTATGAGTACCTTCTTAAGTGGAGGTCTGAGCCATGCCCTTCCAGAGGCTGTTTGTCCCCTGGTGTCTAACTACTTTTAGCCTGTTCATAGATGTCTGATTTATAGCAGGTAGCAGACAACTATAGACAGTGCTTATTTTGTTCTTTCCACATAAATTAAACTGTATGATCTTGTCATTAAAATTTTTTTTTTTAAAAAATAACTGGTTTTCTCCTGAAGGAGAAAGTTATGAATTTGAGGCCTTCTTTTCTTTGCTAAATTCCATCTTCCTTCTCTGACTCTACAGGGGATAAATGTGGGACCGGGGCAAACCACCTCTCCTGGTCAGTATTTGGTAAGCATGTGGTAACTGACCTGCTGTGAATGCAGAAGGTCACCTCCCCTAGACAGACTATGGCGAGTACTGTGCCATGATCAGAGGGGGTCCCCCTCGCTGGTTACAAGTGGTAATTCACTGGGAATGCCTTGGAAAGATCACCCTCCTTAAGCCAGAGTGTGGTAACAACCTGGAGGGTCACTGTGTTGGCTTGCTGGGTTTTCTGTGACAAACACCACAGAGTAGATGGCTTACATGGCAGACATTTGTTTTTCTGCCGTTCTGGAGGCTAGAAGTCCCAGATCAAGGTGTCAGCAGATTCAGTTTTTCTTGAAACAGCTTGGCCTGCAGGTAGATGTCCCTTGGTCTGTATGGACTTTCTCCTAATTTCTTCTCATAATGACAACAGTCATACTGGATTGGGGTCCACCCATATTATCTCATTTTACTTCATTTACCTCTTTAAAGGCCTCATCTCCAAATATGGCTATATTTTGATGTACTGGGAGGGGATTAGTACACAGAAATTGAGTGGGAACAAACGTCAAGCCTTACGTCGCTGGTCAGAAATGTAACACTAAAGGATGATCAATTTAATGGATTGTGTGGTCAAAGGCAATGACCACAGAATGGCAGTCAAGTCACATGGGGATTTCCTACTCAAAGGAATGAGAGCAAGAATATATAGCTTCAATATGATATGAATGAGACCAGGCAAAAGAGGAGGGTTGCAGGGATGTACTGTCTCCTGAATTTTCCTGCAAGCCCTCAGAGTAGGTTCAGTCTCCTTATCAGCAGCAGGAATTCCTTGTTACTCGAGCATCATTGCCAGAGACCAACAAATGTAGCTGAATGTCTATGGAAGAGTGTGATTAGCTCTGGTAGACAACTCTGACATCAGACACAACCATTCACAGCCTGTTTAGGAGCATGACCGAAAGACATGGAACAAATGTAGGCCAAACATCCAGTAATATACAGCAAAGAGGTGACTGGGCAGGGAATGGAAAATAGAAATCAGCCAAGATTTCTGATTTCTGGAGAGAGTTACCTTCTGAGACTTGGAAACTGATGAAAAAGATAATGAAAAGCAGCAGCCAAGGCAGAGGAAAGAAAATGCAAGACATGCTAAGATGCCCCAGGAAGTTTGGTGGCTGAAGCAGAGTCTGTGACTGGGAGGATTGGTTGGAAGTGGTGATGAGGAGAGAAGGGTTTGTGTCCAGGTGTGAAGTGATGTTGGACTGGGTTTATGACAAAGGACAAGGCAGGTTCTGTGTGAGAGGATTACTAACAGCTGGCAATTGGTCAAATGTTGAAATTAAGGAGGTCCACGATTACATAATCACATACACAAAAACCCACCACAGCGATGTACTCCAGACACACCAAGAGGTTACTTACTGGTTGCAGTGCTGGTGCTGAGACCTCTGGCAGGCAGCACCTGTGTTTATGAAAGAAAAGACAAGTACAGTGTCATTGGTTTGCAGACACCTGAAAAGTCAGCTGAGCATGCAACTTCCTTTTTTATTTCCATCCCACCATTAGGCTTCTCCAGTCAGGCCAATTGTTAGCAACAAGAAATTAGACAGATGGAAGTAATCCTCTCCACCTGACAAGGCTTAGAAGCTAGACCCATTAAACCAGGAGGAATCAGTGTAAGTAAGGACAGACGGATGTCATTAGATGGGATGATGCATTCTTTTTTTTGCGTTTATCTTGGGGCGCATACAGTATGGAGCAGAAAACAAACTGCTTGATGGAAATTGGCTTGGCTTCGTGAGACAGAACAAGAAAATTTCCCCTTTAAATGATGGCTCTTAAAGTCTTTTGAAAGGAAGAGGACAATTCCACTCCCTTCATCTTTTCCCAATAGTTTGCTGTAGCTAGTGTAAATATGTTCTGCCACCAACCCTAGATTTTATAGGTAAAGTAAGAACGCTCAGCTTTTTCATTGTCTCAGATTCTGAGCGGGTTGCCATGTGCGTTCTTCCCCTTAGCTCCACATATCGGGACTCCCCCTGTCTCAGAAGGACACGCTTCGCGGGAGCAGACTTCACAGCGGGGCCCAGGCTCCACAAATCCCCCAAGCAATGCTGATGTTCCGAGGAACTTCTACCAAGTTGTAGCGAACTGGGCCCTCCACTGGGAGGGCAGTTTCGGGGCACAGGGAAGTAGACCCGGTAAGTCAGGGAACAGTTCTTGGGAAGGCACAAAAGTCTGGTGAAAAGTCGCAAGCAGCTGGGACGAATTTGGCTTCTTACCGCTCCTCGTACCTAGGGGACGCACTAGTCTGAGGGTGGGAAGCAGCGTGGCAAAGGTTACAGCTACTCCGTGCGCCGCCTCACCCCTCCCCTCAGCGCGCCCCACCTGCCCAGCGCAGTCGTCCGGCCGCCGCCAACCAGCCCGGCGCGGGCCACACCCTCTCACCGCTGGGACCACGCCCCGTAGCACGCGCCGCCGGCCGGCCGGCGCCCCGCCCCGCCCGTCACGTGACAGCCCCACCCTCCGCGAGCGCCTCCATTGGCCCTCACGCCGCAGGGGGTGGGACCTGGCGAACAGCAGTGCCTCCGGAGTCGGCTGCAGTTTTCAAACCTCAACTGTAAGCTTCGGTCATCGTCTGTGCTGCGGTCGCCGGGAGTCTCCTCACTGGGGGCCAGGTCACAACTGTAGCTTCCTGTTGGGAAAAAGGAAAAGTGGATCTTGCCAGCCTCCCACCTACCCGGCCAGAGCTGGCGAACACGTCCTGTCGCGGTTCCTGGCGCGGGGCGGGACAGGAGCCCCCTCAACGGGGGCAGCCTCGGAAGAACCTGCTGTGGCCAGAGAGGTCAGTGTCCTCAGCCTCGCGTGTCCGCGGGCCTGTCGGGATTGGCAGGTGGGCTTGGAGAGAAGGGCGGGGTAGCTGGGGGAGCGGAGGGGTCCTCTCGGACCCCGGGCTCGGCGGAGACGGGCTCGGAGCCTGCCGCCCCTCGGGTGACCCCCTGCTCCAGCCAGAGTCCAGCTTCGCTGGCCCCGTCGGGTGCGGGTTGGGGGTGGGGGGTGGTCTTCCCGACACCCCTGCCAGCCGCGGGAGCCCTGTTTGCGGGTCAGCCCGTGCAGCCCTTCGCGGCGGGCTCGCGTCCCTTCCACGTCCTGCCGACGTGGTCCTCGGGGCACAGGACGTGTTCACGTCTGGGCTCGCGGACACGGCCTGCTCACAGCTGTCTTTCGTACTCGACGAAGTTCCTGCTCATCTTGCAGGGAGCTTTCAGCTACTTCTTGTGAACCAGATTTTTTTTTTTTTTTTTTAACGCTAGAGACTAGAGAACAAGTCGAATTTTCAGGGATTTTAAGCAATATTTTAAAAATAATAAAGTATATAAGGCACATAGTGTACATGACCCATTCTCAAACTGTACAGCTCCGTGGTGACTATGATTTTGACATTTGCCCGGGTTCTTCGGTTTATTGTGGGGAAAAGCGCCTCGTTGAGGTCTAAGTGGAGATAAAGTTGAGACTTTATGGCAGCTGATAGCTGGTGTTAGTCCTTCCTGTCTGACTATGATGGGACTGGAAGCAACTCCAACATCAGTTTGTAAATTGCAATTAAGAAGAAAAATACGTTTTTAAACCCAGCCATAATGCAGATCAGATTTCAATATTTACGGACATTAGGTCTGTGGATCACGTTCACTGATCGTTTTGCCGATGTAATGTTTACCTCTGTGGTAGCAATGATATGCTGAACCTTGCAGGGATGTTTGATAAGGTGTAGCCCCTGTAAGTTTTCAAGTCCATGAGAAAGTATGAGCTGAGTCGGCATGGGCTGTAGAAATGACTGGGCAAGTGACGGCATGTGTAAGCTGGCATTTTGCATCCAAGAGCACAATTTAATTGAAGGAAAAGATAAACCTACTCTCTCATTGATACACTATTTTGTAGTTGTACGATGAACTGTCCAGAAGTAGTATTGAACAACTTCTAAAATGTTAGCTTTATAACTACATACTTAAAGAAAATTGCGTAGTGTTTTAAAAGCTGAGATGTTCAACTAAAAAAAACTATTTTAAAAATGGGAGTTATTAATAGCTGTTTCATTTCTGAGATACAACTTTATACATTTTAGATCATTTTTCTAAAAATAGGAATCTAAAATTGAAGTAAAATAGGTTTACTTACATGGTGGTATGTTTTAAAAGTAAGCTTTCTGTAATAATTTCAAGACTTTGTGTGTGTGTAGATGGAATAGTTACAACTTCTCTTGGTCATTGATTGATGAATTGCAACTTGATTAAGATAGAATCATTTTGATGGAACTAGAGAAGACTGATCACTGTCAACATATGAATAACACATTTGAAGAAGATACATTTTATGGATTACATTTTTTATCAATTTTATTTTTAAGCTTGCACTGAGAATATTTTACTGCTGTTAAGTGAACCTTTAATTTTTTAATAAGTTTGTTTTAAAGCTGCCTGGCTTTTATAAGGGAGAATTTTGTTATCAAAACTTCCCCATTTTAATCTGAGAGGCTCAATTAAAAACCCAGAAGTCAAGGAAATCAATGACTAACACTTCCACTCAGTCCTCGATCCACATACTGTAAACTTGCATGTGTGGTGTATGGTGGTGCATATTTCCTGAATGTAAAAATTAACAGTTATGTACTACCTTTCCACTTTGGGAAAACTTCAGATGTATCCAGTTGCTCTCATTTTCCCATAATACTGATGACAATGATTTTGTTTATAAATAGTCTATATTCTATAATAGACAATTGTCAAAGTATATATCTTTGAATATTTCAATTAAAAATGTTTTTATAAATTAAGTCACAACCACATATTTTATCTAAATATGTTGCTATTTACAAGGCACATTTTATTTAAATTTTATCTTTGATTTATTTATCTTTTTTGTTTAACCTGGAACTTCACTGCGATCTTAACCATACGAATTAATCAGTTTCTTTTACTGTTTTTATGTAATATATTTTTGATTCATCCCAGGCTCTTTGCAACTACTCCAAAAAAGGGGTAGTTTTACTTTAGACGTTAACAAATTTTAACATTAAGATGATATTTTCTTCTTGAATCCTTAAAAGATCAGATTCCATTTTGCATTGTAATAGTTACTGAGTAAACAGTACTTAAATGGTACTATTAAGTAAATAGTAATTTATTTTACAACAGAAACCTAATTTTCAGTCTGATGATTGACAACTACTGTGAGTTTGTTGGCCCACTATATTTCCGTTTTCCAACATCTTTTTTTTTTTTTTTCTAGCTTACAATTATAGGGTTTAATTCTTTTTCTAAAGATGCAAAGAGACAGCATCAAGCCTTGTTGGCTTGGCACAGAATCAGGCCTGGGGTCATTGCCTGGGACTTCAGCCCTGAGGTAGTAAAATAGAGACTGGTTGGACTAGAATTAGCTTACTGGTGTCCTATCATGATTTTCAAGGGATTAAACTTTTCAGCTATACTTTCTGTTAAATATATATTTTAAAAAAGGTATGTTAGTACAATACATACAAAAAGCCTTCAGAGAGTTCATGGAAAATGTGTGTTCTAAAAACATAATGCATGAGTTTAAAAATTTTGTTTTCACCAAATAAACTTATCCTTTAATTTCATTTTCTGTGAACTTTTTGAAGTACTGTAATATAAGGAATAAAGCTTCTTCCCTGAAATTGAAAATCATCATCATCCCTACAGCAATGCCTTTACTTCTAACTAATGATTAATTAAAACTAGATCCTTCTACCACACCAGCAGAACATTCCTCCTTTTCTTTTGATGGGTGCTAGATACATAATTCTGCGGTTACTCTGTTTCTTAGAAAAAACGTGATGCAGTAAATATCTGTGTAGGAGAGGTCTGCTTTCTTACGATCTTGTGACTTACTTTGCTGTCCATTGCCTTTCACATTACTTCATGAAGATCTAGATTAATCAATTCTAATAGGACAAGTATCTGAATTTCCTGACTGAGGTATCCCTTGAAATATTGATGTTTTTAGCTAAAGTAGATATTTACATTAAAACAGGTGATCACCTAATATAGAGAGACAGTTAAATATAAAATAAATTGCCCATTGACATTATATTTATTGAAATTACAATATATGTTAAAATAATTTTATCCACGTTCCAGACTTTGTGGCCACCCTATTTTGAACTGAAGTTCCTTAATAATATTTTTAAATGCTTTTATGTTATTTAGCCAAATACTGAATTAAGCAGGGATTAGCTGTGTTTGAAGCTCCAGGACTGTACTTCCAAGACAGATCTCAAATTCTGCTAACCCCTTGAAAACACAAACTGTACCCAAAAGCTATTTTTGCTATATCTCATAGTTCTGCTAATTCAGTTCATCAGACATTTTTTGAATTCCTGCCTCGTACCAGATACAATGCTGCTAAGGCACAAAAGTAAAGCTTACTGTCCTTTTGACACCAAACAAAATTACAGTCTAATATGGTGCCTTTTGAGGCAAAGAAATATACCACGGGTCCTCTTATGTGAAGCCTACAAGAGAGGCATTTAAGTCAATTTAAGAGTTTTAGGCAAAGCTTTCTGGGAGAGATGCTATTCTATATTGAGATACAAAGACTATGTAAGAAGAGTTTGTCATTTAAGGAAAAGTAGAAAGGATGTTTCAGGCAGAGAAATATAACAAAAATATGGAGGCATTACTCAGATATAAATGTGGCAGGAAATGAAACTATGTGTGCTAGTTTTACATATGGCATGTTATAAGGACTTCAGCTTCTCTCTCTTTCTCTGTAACTCTGCCATTAAAATAAAATTAATAATCTTTTTTTAAAAAAGGGTCTTTAGTTTATAGATAAATAACTGAGAGCTAATGAAGGAATCAAAGCAGGCAATATAGAGCCGGCGCCGTGGCTCAATAGGCTAATCCTCCACCTAGCGGCGCCGGCACACCGGGTTCTAGTCCCGGTTGGGGCGCCGGATTCTGTCCCGGTTGCCCCTCTTCCAGGCCAGCTCTCTGCTATGGCCAGGGAGTGCAGTGGAGGATGGCCCAGGTGCTTGGGCCCTGCACCCCATGGGAGACCAGGAAAAGCACCTGGCTCCTGGCTCCTGCCAGGATCAGCGCGGTGCGCCGGCTGCAGCGGCGGCCATTGGAGGGTGAACCAACGGCAAAGGAAGACCTTTCTCTCTCTGTCTCTCTCTCACTGTCCACTCTGCCTGTCAAAAAAAAAAAAAAAAAAGCAGGCAATATAGTTCTCTAGACATTTTCATTATTATATATTCTATTTTTTTGAAACATTTTTCTTGGATAGCTGAAATGAATATAATGATGATTATGTTTTAAAAATACAGCTATGTGGTGGACTTTGTTTTTCTTTTGATTGAATCATATTTGCTTTCTCCATTCAAGTAAGTTATGGAAGACCCAGATCAAATCTAATGTTTCTTTTAAAAAAAGTTTTTGTTTGAAAGGTATGGTGACAAAGAGAGAGGGAGATGTTCCATAGATGCTGGTCCACGCTCCAAATGCCTGCAACAGCTGAGACTGTGTCAGGCCAAAGCTAAGAACTCCCCATGGGTATTCTGTGTAGGTGACAGGGCCCAACCTCTTGGGCCAACTTTGCTACCTTTCAGGTGCAATAGTAGGCATCAGGATCTCAAGTGGAACAGCCGGGACTTGAATTGACACTGATGTAGGATGCTGGTGTCCCAAGTGGCAGTTTAGCCAGCTGTGTGTCACAATGCTGGCCCCAAATCTAAGTTTTCATTCCTTTCCTCCCTTCACTGATCTACTTATGACTTACTGTGATAATCGTAATGGGAGTTAAAAAAAATTGAAAACAAATGTACTATTATTTTTAGTAGTACCTGTATAATTGAAAGCTTAATTGTATCTTACCACTATTAATATTTTGCCAATTTTCTAGTTTTTCCTTTTCTTTGGTTTTATATTTTACCACATAATGGTCACACTATATATAAAGTTATGTCTTCCTTTTTTCACTTAGTATTGAATTAAAAAAAGAGTGCTTGAAAGCACAATTTTTATTGAATGTATAAGATTGTATTATTTAGATATATTTAACTGTTTCCTCACTGTTGGACTTTGAAGTTCATGGATTCAACAAGTTCTCTGGGTATTTTTTTCACTATTGTAAATTATGCTTCATTGAACCTAAATCCTGACTATATCCACAAGACACCCATATTGAATCTTGGAAGGGGTGTGGAAAATGCTTACTCATAAAATAGGTCTAGTTTTTTATACACTTCAAAGCTGACACATTGCAACATGAAGTAAATATCTTAAAACCCAGAACTTAGGTGAGCTGAAAATTGAGAACCTAGAGCCTTACATGTTCTGTCTCTATGATTCAGTTGGCATCTTATTGTTCTCCTGTTTCCCAAAGCCTGATGAAGTGTTGGGGATGTAGCCCAACTATATTACTTCTTTCTCTATTACACACATTTAATGTAAATTTTAGCATAAACATACATATTCATAGATCTTTTAATTTCAGAGCAAAACTTTAAAAAGTCCAAAGATGATCTGAAAAATAAAATTGAGCATAGAAATTAGTATCCATATTGATTTTTCAGAGAGTAATGTGACCAGTGTATCTTGAGTGCCATCAGAATGCACAAGATACACGATTATTAGTCAAAACAGAAAATAAAAAGACATTTGAGTTGAGTTTAGGATAACTTGGGAGCGTTTTGTATGTGGAAACGGTGTAGCTACTCAACAATATGCCTGTCAAGAGTATAAAGGGGAGGGTAGTGGGTGGGAGGGACGGTATGTGGGGGAAGCCATTGTAATCCATAAATCGAACTTTGGAAATTTATATTCATTAAATAAAAGTTAAAAAAAAAAAAGGAGTATATAGAGAGGCCAGCGCTGTGGCTCACTAGGCTAATCCTCCGCCAGCACTCTGGGTTCTAGTCCCGGTTGGGGCACCGGTTCTGTCCCGGTTGCTCCTCTTCCAGTTCAGCTCTCTGCTGTGGCCAGGGAAGGCAGTGGAGGATGGCCCTAGTCCTTGGGCCCTGCACCTGCATGGGAGACTGGGAGGAGGCACCTGGCTCCTGGCTTCGGATCAGTGCAGTGTGCTGGCCGTGGCAGCCATTTGGGGGGTGAACCAACGGAAGGAAGACCTTTCTCTCTGTCTCTCTCTCTCTCTCACTGTCTAATTCTGCCTGTCCAAAAAAAAAACAAACAAACAAAAAAAAAAAACAACAACAAAAAAAAGTATATAGAGAGCATCTTTGAGTAGAATGTTAGTATTCTCATTATGGAACAATCAAGACGTTCCCTCACGAGTAGCACTATACCAGTGTCATTCTACATGAGTTAATCATTTTTGAAAGTTTAACCCTTAGAGATCTGTAAGACTGATTTTGTCATCATCCATATTTTAAAAGCAACACAATCAAAGCTTTCTTGACTAATAAGCAGGGAAATGCAAAATAAGTTGCAGTAAAATTCCATTCCACTATCATCACACTAGAAGAATAATACCTGATTTTTTATTAGGTAGGCACAGCAGGAACCTAGCAATATCTTATATTGTTTACTAACATTATAAAAATTAGGGGGCCAGCATTGTGGCATAGTAGGTTAAGCTGCTACCTGCAATACTAGCATCCTGTGTGAGCGCCGGTTCAAGTCCTGGCTGCTCCACTTTTGATCCAACTCTCTGCTAATACACCTGGGAAAGCAGCAGAAAATGGCCCAAGTCCTTGGACCCCTGCACCCACATGGGAGACTCATGACTCCTAGCTTTGGCCTGGCCCAGCCCTGGCCATTGTGGCCATTTGAGGAGTGAACCAGCAGATGGAAGATCGATGTCTCTCTCTGTCTCTCCCTGTTTCTGTCTCACTGTAACTCTGCCTCTCAACTAAATAAATGAATCTTTAAAAAAAAAAATCAGTTAATATGAAAGTAATTTGGATATTAAAACTGCATGCATGTAAATATCACAAAGTTCCAGAAAATGTGAGCTTCAGATACAGATTAGAATTTTGGAATAAGACTCAGTATGTGGTCAGTTACTCATTCAACAAAATTATTGAGCTCTTTATACATGGAAGCCTTTGCGCTAGGTTCTGCCAAAGGAGAAACTCTAAGGCCTATAAGAGTTTCTGAATTTAGTATTGAAATATGGTGAATCCAAGAAACAAGTTATGTTTCTTATAGTCATTCATGCATTAGTAGATTCATTTATAATATGTGAGTTTACCACCAACTTTGAATATATAAAATTAAATGAGTAATCATTACCTTGTTATATTAACTCACCTAGTTATGTGATAGCTATAACTGTAAAGAATGAGCTTAAAATAGTGAAGTGTTTGCTTGTGTTATAGTTGTATGGTAACTATTTTTAAGAATTTGGGAGGATCTTTACAGTTTTATTCTGAAATGAAGTTAGCAGCTTCATTCAAGTGTTATAGTGGGGATACTTGATTATGTGTGTGTTTTTTTTTTTCACTATTCTTTGTGGCTGGAAGGTGGTTTTTAAATCTGTTTCTTCTCTTTTGTAGTTGTATCTTAAGCCATATTTGGAGTTATACATGTACATCCTGCTTGAGATAGCATGTTTTTAAAAATTGTGCTTTAAGTAATTTCATCTATCAGCTTTCTCTTTTTTTTAGATAGGTGAAAATAAGTGAGAAAGAAGCATATTTGGGAGTCATCTAACATGTCACGAAGAAGATTTGATTGCCGAAGTATTTCAGGCATGCTAACAACAACTCCTCAAACCCCAATGAAAATGGAAAACTTTAATAATTTCTATACACTTACATCTAAAGAACTAGGAAGGTAAGGAAACTTTATGATATGTTGTTCAAATTCAAATCTTGGCTTTTTCTTTCTGTAGTACTATAAAACTTACTCTAGATCATTTACAGTGATTGGAAAGGAAAGCCAGCATCTAATCTGTGTAGGCTTTAGTGAGTTTATATTGCACATCCAACCCACCTTCGGGGTCACTGATAGATCTGCATTCTTACTTGAGGCTGTTAGTGGGAAGAGACTTAGCATTGTGAACTGCTGAGTTCAGTTGTGGTCTCCATCATTTACTAGCTGTTTGACCTCATTTAAGTTATTGCACCTCTTAGTGCCATAGTTTCTTCAACTGAAAAGTAGGAAAGAATATAATTGTATCTATTTTACATGGTTGCTTTGAAGATTAAACTAGTTAATCTTATAAAATGCTTAGAATGATATAAAGTTTTTGTTATATAATCTGTTTTAAATTTCTAGGATATTGTGCTGGGCTACAAAAAACAGAAACAGATTCTCCTACTCTTAAATTCAATGAAACTAATTAATTCATATTTGATAGTAAAATTCTTTTTCACAGTGAATGAATGTTCTGCAAGTGAAAGTGTGTACAAATTCTGTTCAGGTTTACCAAAGTGGAAAGTCCATAAGACCAAGGAGTAACATGATTGAGATCATTTAGACTACTATTTTAATACACATGAAAGTTATAAAAATAAATCAAGTTTTTAAAGTTATTTATTCATCACCTTTTGTACTTTAAATGTGATTAATGTAGGATTGGATCCAAAATTGTGTGATCTACTTGGTTGTATGATGTCCTTTTTAAATGAGAGAATAGACTAATAAATGTCTCAAAGTTTCCTTGTATATTATAACAAATGTTTAGAAATTGCTTTGAATAGGTAATTGAATATATAAATCCTTGAAGAGTGCATGGAACAAAATGAATTCTATTTGTTATTATTTTGATAGGCAAATTTTCTTACATTTATTAAATTAACTCTTTAAGGGATGTGAGAAACTAGAAATTTCATAAAAATATTTTTTCTGTAAGGGTTTTAGAGAACTCAAACATATGATGAATAATGCAGAATTGTCTTAGAAATTGCCATCGTAAAAATCATAAACTTGAAAAAGTTGTACTTTTTATTTAACATTTTAGAGCAAAAACTCTTGACAGAATCTGACTTAAATTCAGATTGCCAGTATCCCATCTTCTAATATCTTTCTGAAAGAAACCTAAGTAACATTTTTCTTTGACTTGTTATAGGCTAATGAGTCATGTGGCAAATATTGAAATGTTTATTTAGTAGACCTTGATAAATTAGAAATCATGGCTCTTTATCTGCCAAAAACTTGCTTCAGGTTCTTTGAATATTGTTACCAATTTTAATATCTTAAGCTTTTGTGAAATGGAAATTGGAATCATAATCTTATTTCTCATGTAGCTGTACATTTTCAAGTATATAATTCTAACGTGTGGTTTGGTGAATGATAAAATTATCTTTGTAAATCAACTATGTTTTTTTAATTTTAAGAGGTTAGCGTTTAAGAATTCATTTTCCCTTAGCAAACTAAAGGAAAATATGTGCAAGTTAACAGTTCGTTTTTGACTATTCTCAAAAAACTTGCATTGTTCCTGTTTTTTAACATGTTGGTTTAAGCTTTTTTCATCCTCCCCCAATTGAAGCAAGATTTCATAGGACTTCTTGTGGTTAGAAGGGTGAGGCAGATTCAGAAATAAACGTCAGCTTCCTTTGTGGCTTACCTTCCCCCTCCCTGCACATTTTATTGTGTGCTCTAGAATGCAGAAGGGTAACTACTAGACCTTTTCACTGCTGGGAAATCTCACCAGCCTTGCCTTTTTAGGGCATGAATTAAGTATTATTGTTAAGGGTTTTACATTTTCTTGAATGTTTCTACTAAATTTCATACAGGAACATTATATGTTGAAGATTATTTTTTGATACTTCTAAACTACAGCTAGCATCTCAGAATGGAAAAAAAAATACTTCTTTCTTTCCCCCTAAGTCATCTGATAATTGTGGTAAAAATATTTACTTACTTTATACTGTATAAATGAATATATAATGCATATAAATTTATTAGAATCTCAAATAAACTTTTAAAAATACAAATACTGTTAAGTACAGGATACAAAATTATATAGTATATGGTATTATAGAAGGTTATAACTCTGACATCAATTCAACAGATATTTCAGTTCCTGTGTGTGTAAGGTAATAGTGTAGATTTTATAACTGCTGACATGATCCCTGCCTTCATGGAGCTTTTACATATTGGTGAACACTGACGAAGAAATTATTATCAATATCTTTTCGTCATTGTTGCCTTGGATTAATGAGCACCGTACTTGTTTTAGAAAGCCTCTCAGGAATATCTGAAACAATTAGATAAAAAGTTTTACTCTTTGGTTTTCCTCTTTGCTTCTGCAAGAATTCCAACTTATAGGTTAATCATAAAATTGTAGCCAAACTAAATGGCCACATTGGTACTCTAAACATTTTTTTTCAGATGCACAATTTTCTTTTTCCTAAAGTTTCCAAGGTGAATTTATTTTTATAAAACTTAAAATTTCCTTTTTTCCTCTAAATCTGAGGAAGAATTAGCAGACATGAATGACTTATTAACTTTCTTTTCAAAAACAATTTTAAAAAGATGAATTGTTTTGTAGTGGTTAGAACAGAAAACTAGGAACCTAGATTCCGCAGTTTAATTCTTGGCACTCCTTTTCCATATATGACCTTTCATGAGTCATTTAATCTTATTCTGACTCAGTTTATGCAGTATAAAATTTATAAAAATTTATAAAATGGTTTGATTTAAAGGGACTAATTTACTTTTCTGTGTGTTCACTGAAATGCAGCATTTTGTATTCCTTTTGGATAGAGTGAGATAGTATTTTATAGTTAAGCATTTTTAAATCTTAAAAAACTGCTTTCAAACATCAAGTTTGTATTTGCAAATTTATTGAGTTGATGTAAATTTTAGTAAATGTAGGGGTAAAATTGCAGCTTGTTAGATTTTTTCATTCCTAGCTATATTTTTTTAGTATGGTTTCCAGTGCTTTTTCATTGGCATCAATTTGGGGGAGTGATGTGGGAAATAAAGAGTAGGAATCTTTGAAATACTGGTCCTTGGAAATAGCAAGTCAAACACTATCAAGCAATGTGTTCCCCTCATACGTCCTCTAAACACCAAATGACTTAGAAATTGTTTTCCTTGTTAGACCGGATATGCTGTGTTGGTGACATATTCTGAAGATAACTGAGTCACAAGGAGTAGTAGAACAAAAGTTCTTTTCTAAAGATCCTTTATTTATACCTGGCTTGTTACTACCAGAAATTAGGGAGTAACTTGGCCCTTCAGATAAAAGTTCTTAGTTTTGAATCTCCTTGACTCAGGCTTAGAAGGTTTATAGACAGACTTCAAAATCAGAAAACCTTCTGGAATTGTATGTAAAACTTCCTACTTTAAGGGAAGTTATACATTTTTCTCTGTGGACAGTCAATAGATTTTATTAGTTTCTCAAAATGGTCTTTGACTCATAATAGCTTTAAGCCTCTGTGAAACTAAATTTTGGCTAAATGCAGGCTTATAATGCATAAATATTCCAATGGAAACTCTTATTTTCAATGTCTTTTTAAATTTTGGCTGAGATGCTGAGAGTTACTATTGGAGAGAGCTAGAAACATACTTTTTCCTAAAATGATAAATGTGACTTGATGAGTCTGTTTGTACAAAGCTGTCCTTTTTTTTTTTAAGATTTATTTATTTGAGAAGCAGAGTTACAGACAGAGAAGAAGAGAGAGAGAGGTCTCCCATTTGCTGGTTCACTCCCCAAATGGCCACAACGACTAGAGCTGGGCCAATCTGACCAGGAACTAGGAGCCTCTGAGGCTCCCACTGGGTGCAGGGGCCCAAGTACTTGGGCCATCTTCCATTGCCTTCCCAGGCCATTAGCAGAGAGCTGGATTGGAAGAGAAGCAGCCAGGACACTAACCAGCACCCATGTGGGATACCGTCACGGCAGGCAGAGGCTTATTCTACTATACCGTAGTGTTGTCCCCTATGCATTGCTGTTGATACCATTAGTTTTCTTAGCTGATCATGAAATGTCTTTGAATACTCCCCATAGGATACATATCCTTACGTGCCTATTATAGGCTTCATAGACTGTGTGTTACTAGGACATGGATTAGTAAAACTGCTGTCAAATTGTGATAGAAAATTTCAAAGCTTGTTAAAAGTTGTATCAAAAGGCAAAATTATTACACAAATGAAATATGTCAAATAGCCATTTTTGCATTTATTTTAGTTTTTTATGTTTGACGAAAAGCTATTTTGATTAGAGTGTTAATATGATCTTTATGGAAGGTACAGTCTTTGGAAAAAAGACCCAAGTTTAAATCTTCATCTTGACCAGATTAAATATCTTCTTTATTGTATACAAAACAAAATAACATTTACTATATGGGATTGTTATAATACTTAATTACAATAATTTATATCAAGAGTATGGTATAGACTTGGTATACAAATGATATTATTTTCCTATGATGATAATACTTCATATTAATAGTGAAGAACAAATATAATTCTGTCTTATCTTGTTATTTCTGTTTGGCATTTACATTGGTATGCAATAGTACCATAAATTTTACAAAGATACATACAAAGTGGGGATGCATTTGGCCTTTTGACTAAGGTGCCTGTTAGGACACTTTATAGCATGTTGGAATGCCTAAATTTCAGTACTGATTTTGACATAGTTCCAGATTTCTACTAATGCAGACCCTGGGAAGCAACAAGTAAAGGCTCAAGTGATTGATTGCTGCCACCATGTAGGAGACCTGGGTTCAGTTCCCAGCTTCTGGACTCAGCCTGTGCCAGCCCCAGCAGTTGTAGGCATCTGGGGATAAAGCTAGTAGATGGGAGCTATCTGTCTCTTGTTATATAAATTTTTAAAAACACTTTAAAATACATATAATGCTTGATTTAGTTTACAGAAAGATAAATACCTAGTGGCACAAATATTTAAAGGAATTGACTTTAAAGGTATAATATAATAGTATCTTATTCTCTATGGAAAAACTATTCTCTATGGAAAAATTAAAGTTGTCTTTACTTTCCCCCTTCAGAGGAAAATTTGCTGTGGTTAGACAATGTATATCAAAATCTACTGGCCAAGAATATGCTGCAAAATTTTTAAAAAAGAGAAGAAGAGGACAAGATTGTCGGGCAGAGATCCTACATGAAATTGCTGTACTTGAATTGGCAAAGTCCTGTCCCCGTGTGATTAATCTTCATGAGGTTTATGAAAATGCAAGTGAAATAATTTTGATATTGGAATAGTAAGTAGATACTTTAATATATTGAAGTAAATCTATAGTATATAGTTTTAATGCTTTAAGATAAGTTGAATTGAGATGTCAAGAATGATAAAACTATGCTAAGAACTTTAAAAATTAGTGTTCATAAAATATTAGAGAGGTAGTTTAATTTCAAATATTTTTACAAGGCTAAAGGTACAGCTTCACACACATACAAAAAATAACAGCACAAAATAAACGAATGAAAAACACATTTGGGAAATGTAGTGAAATGCATATATAGTCTTTGTTGATGGCAAGAGAAATTGTTTGAGCTTTTCTGGAAAACAATCTGATGACAAGTAGAATTGAAATAATTTTCATATTTTTGTCTACCTATTTGAAAAACATCTCCAAGAAAATTACCCAAGGAGAACAGAACAATAAATTGCATCAAGGTATGCTAGTACATTGTTTGTTAAAGAAATACATTTAGTATGTGTGATGTTTAAAACACTATGTTAGGAATTGTCACAATAAGAAATAAAATATCTCTTGCCACAAGTTAGTGAAAAATTGAAAACACAAAAATATTCAACAATTCATGGGGTGATGGAGTTAGAGAATGGTTAGGGTACCTACATGTAGCTCTTTTTTTTTTTTTTTTTTTGCATGTAGCTCTTAAGTAATGCCTTTATTGCATGATTGTCTGACATTTATTATTGTGTCTGATACACAGGTATTTAAGATGTGTGTTTGAATGTCTGTAACAATTGGAAGAGATAAGAGATCAGCTAAATTTAGGTTTAATATTCTTTAGGTTCAGATAATTTTTAATAAAGTAAATCTATTTTATAGTAAACTTCAATAGCCATGGTTTTGTTAAACTAATAAATCAGTCATTAAAAATAAACCATTATGCTTTAACTTAATTGGCTCTAATCAGTTTCTACCACTATCTTTTTTCATGTTTAAATTGTCCCAAGTTTATCACTGTTAAATTTATTAGTAGAAGTATGGGGCAGGCATTTGTTGCACTGGCTAGGTTGCCATCTAGGGCACTGTACTTTCCCTGTCATACTGCCTGATTCTAGTCTTGGCTTCTCCACTTTTGATCCAGCTTCCTGGTAATAGGTACCCTGGGAGTCATTAGGTGATGTCTCAAGTTTTGAGTCTCTACCACCCACATGTGACATCTAGATTGAGTTTCTGGTTCCTGTCCTTGGCCTGTTTCATTCTTGGCAGACTCTCTATGTATCTGTTTTTCAAATAAAAATAATAACTAAAAATTTTTAAAAATTACTGGCATAAATAGGCTTTCAGGCTACTTCCTTTGTCCTTTTGAAATGGTCTTATTTGTGTTTGAGCATTTCTTTGCTTAATGCACATCAAAATTTTGTCAGCCAACTCTCCAAGAAGTTTCGGTTCTTCTTAGTGGGGAATGGTAATTAGGAAGCAAGATGGGTACTACACATGCTTATTTTTAAAGGAGTATCATTGTTTCTAGGTATTTTCCAAGAACAATGTTAGAAAATCATATATATATATATATACACACACACACACACACACATATATATATAGACAGGCAGAGTTAGACAGTGAGAGAGAGAGAGACAGAGAGAAAGGTCTTCCTTCCATTGGCCCACCCCCCAAATGGCCACCACGGCTGGCGCCTTGCGCCAATGTGAAGCCAGGAGACAGGTGCTTCTTCCCAGCCTCCCATGCAGGTGCAGGGCTCAAGCACTTGGGCCATCCTCCACTGCCCTCCAGGGCCACAGCAGATTGCTGGACTGGAAGAGGAGCAACCGGGACAGAACCAGTGCCCCAACCAGGACTAGAACCCGGAGTACCAGTGCCACAGGCAGAGGATCAACCTAGTGAGCCGCGGCGCCGGCCAGAAAATCGTATTTTTTAAAATTGTGAATTCATTCTCGTAGATCTAGTTCAAGTCCACCAATACAAGGTTGTTCAATACCTCTTTTATTCTATATTTGTATTTCCCTTCTCCCACAGTGAAAATACTGTTTACAACAATATTTGCTCATTTGCCTTGTCCAAAATGTATATATAAGAAGTAGTTTCAGAATAACAAAGCTAATACTAACATCAATTGCAAACTTCTTAATCAAGTTGGGATTTTTTTTTCATTCTTTCTGTCTTTAGTATATAACCCACTAAGGGTGTATAGTTACACATTTGCTTTTGTCTGTAATTCAGTATTAGAATCTGATTCTTTAAATCCTTTTTTTCTGTTTCTTATTTTGAAATTGTAAAAAAGATTTGCATAATTCAAAGCTCAGATATATATATATAAATGTGTGTTACAAAACCTTGCTTCCTTTCCTGTACTTTCTATTATCTTCCTACCCAACCTTTATAAGTTAAGCACATTTGTTCATTTCTGGTTCATTCTTTATACTTCTTTCAAACATGAGCAAATTTTTATAAACTTATGTTTCCTTTCTTACAGAAAAACTAGCATATTACAAATACCCCTTTTCACCTTTCTTTTTAAAACTTATACTAGCCAGAAATCATCCTATATTAGTTCATAAGAACCTAAGTATTTTTACTAAAGCTGTTTTTAAATGACTGCTTAGCACTCCATTGAATAGTTGGATTTTGTTTTATTCAGATAGCCTTCCATGGATGTGCATTATTTGTGGAGTTGTAGTGTTACTATACTTCATGAAAGTATGATTACTAGGTCAAAGAGTAAAAGCATAGGTATTTGTATTAGATGCTGCTAAATGTCCCTCCACGTAAGTGGCATACTATTGTTTTAAAAAGGAACCTTTTAAAATTGTTACATTTGTTAATTATATGAATCTGTCTGAAACTTTCCCTCTAAAATACCACAGCTATGAGTAGAAGTATTTTGATTCTGTTTGTTTTTTTTGTTTTGCTTCTACCTAATCTAACCCTATTTTTAAACCAAATTAAATTGCTTAGACTTCTATGAATTAAATTTACATCCTTGCAGTCAGCTTGTCGCTTTTAAGCAATTATTAAAACTTCATTTTTATCTTAATATGTAGTCTACAGGAAAATATTTCATTACCAGTTGTAGCATCTAAATGATCTTTTGTCCTTTTTTTGACTATTTATTGGAGAAGTAATATAAATACTACTTTTTTAGAAGGTAATACTACATCTTTCTTTAAGCTGGGGAGAAATTTTGAGTCATTTCATCTCCATTCTCCATGAGGCAAAGACTTCGCTGGACCAAGTATTTATTTATATTTGGAGAATTATATAAAATATATGCAAATCTTTGATTTTACTTCTGGAAAGAAGGTATCATCTAATTGAACATTTTAAGATTTAATGCTGAATTTTAAAACAAAAAAAATTTATTATAAAGAGTACTTATTTTTTTGGAGAATATGGAACAAATATTTTGTCCTAGAAATAACAAACCTCGAAAGAGGAACTTGCTTCTGTTCATCGGAGACAACTTTATGAGATTATGTGGGAGAGAATTCATATTTCCTTTTTGTCAGGAAATTACAAAATTGTCTATCATATACCAAATATATTACTGACCCAACAGAAAAGGATGAACACTGACTGAACATGCAAAATAGAAAGCCTCATCCTCTGGAATGATCTCAGTCACTACAGCAGTGCATTTCAATATAGTCTCAACAATTTCAACAATGAAAGTATGTTGGGCATTTACCATACAGTAGGCTCTATGTTAAACATTTTATCTATAATCCATTTAATTCATAAAACAATTCTCCAAAAAGGGCAATTGGTAATCACATCACATGCTCTAATTTAGAGAGGCAATGGAATACTCTGCCTAGTTTCTTTCCATTCTAAAATCCTATTGGTGCTATGGCATAGTAGCTTAATCCTCTGCCTGCAGTGGCAGCATCCCATGTGGGCACCTGTTTGTGTCCTGTCTACTCCTCTTCTGATCCAGCTCTCTGCTATGCCCTGGGAAAGTGGAAGATGGCCCAATTGCTTGTTCCTCTGCACACACCTGGGAGACTGGAAGAAGTTCCTGGCTCCTGGCTTTGAATATGCTCAGCTCCGGCTGTTGTGGCCATTTTGGGAGTGAACCAGCAGATGGAAGACCTCTCTCTTGCTATCTCCCTTTCACTGTCTGTAACTCTACCTCTCAAATAAATAATAAATAAAATCTGTAAGAAAAAAATTCTATGATTTTATTTCCCCCATTTAGCATAGGAATATAATTTTAAAATAAACAATATAAATAAAAATTATTTGATTTTGATAATAGAAATAAGTACTTACTTAAAAAGTGTTTTCAGTGGCTTTCATTATATGCCTATATTTGCATCTCATGGATAATTGAGATAATACTTTGTTTTATTGAAAATATTGTCCTCCTTTAACCCACAGAACTCATCATTTTTGATAGGAAAGTATTATAACTTTAACATTTTATATACTAGCATTATTTTTATTATATTTTAGGAATCTTTCTAAAAGATATTCTCTATTTCCCTACTAACTTTTGAACAATGCTTCAGAAACTGTAGAAGACAGATTATATCTAAATAGCACGTAGGTTGCTATTATCACATATACTGACACATAACACATGTACAAATGCATAAGCAAATAAATACAAATGTTGCAAATTTCTAAAATTTGGGTTGGGGTCCCTTCTAGGGGCAAACTCTTCTTGTGAAGAGAGAAACTGTAGAAGTACCCTGAAGATACCAGCCAGGGCAATGATAATAGTGTTAGTGGCTTTTCTGACTATCGAGATATTTTTTCTTTTTTGCAGTCACTGATCTGAGCAGCTTTTGTTACAGCATCTGCTTTTCTGCTACTCACTATTTCCGTTTCACTTTCAAGTGTCTGCTAACTTTTACAATCTGCTTCTTGGGTTACCTGTTTTTTTTCCCTCCTCTTCAGCTCTTCCTAAGGTTCTATTTCCCATAGCTTTACCTATGTGTCTATGTGTCTCTTTTGTGTGAAAAATGGTAGTCCAACAAAGAACATTTTTAGTTACCAAACAAAAAGGGAGAGACAGTGTGGTTGGTTGAAAATCATAGCATTTTGTTTGATCTTGTTCCTGAAACAAGCTAAAAACAACAAAATCAGAAACCCTCGGGATCTCTTCCCTGGTTGTAGCAGTAATGCCTACTCATTATGTTAAATTAGAAGACACGCAAAACAAATAGAAATTATTTGTGAACTATGGTTATTTTGTGGTATATTTAAAAATTATTCTTATGTTTTATCTGTGCATATGTACTTTTAGAAACAAAATTGTGATCTGGACATACTCAATTCTAACCTCTTTTTTCACTTAAGAATATATTATACACATTTTTCTATGAAGGATATAATGTTTCTGAAAAGTGAATTTTAACAAAGACTTCCTGAGTTTCTTTCAAAATCAGAGTTTAACAAGAAACTTGCAAATTCAGAAAGGCTGGATGTTGTCTTGGTTTGGAATTAATATTTGTTGGCTTATTATAGTAATATTTACTATTTACCAGGTGTTAGTGTTATGAATACTTACATAGATTATCTACTTTGATCTTCATAGCATTAATTGTGTTCAATACTTTATATGGATTATCCAAATCTTACACTAGTGAAGTAGAAACTATCATTTATGCCTATGTTCAAGTTCATGTATCTAATTAGTGACAAAATTAGAACAGAAACACAGGCAATCATGACTTTAGTAGGCACCCAATAAGTACCCTGCTGTCCAGGTGTCTTATATCTTAGGTACCAGAAAGTGTTTTTTCAGTTTGCTTTTTTGTGTTTTTTTGTTTATTTGTTTTATATTGTTTTGAATTTTAGAATTGTTGGGAGGGGTTCGTTATTAAATTAACTTTAGTGACTATAATGTACATGTTGGTACATAAATAATCATAAAATGTTCATATTGTCATCAAATAACTTATGTTGCTGTACAATAGACATTTCAGATCTATTTTTTGTATATAGTAGATATAAATACTTAAACTGATATTTTATACAGTTTTATATAATTTGAAATTATGTGATCTGATTTCTCTTAAAAGGATTATATTGTCATTATTTATAGCTTGTAAAATGCCTAGCAAGAACTTACTCTAAGATAATCCAATTGTTCTTTTCATTTTCTTATTTGCTTACAATTGTATTATTCATATTACTTAATATAATATTATTAATCATACTGTCTTGAGAGTCTTTTCAGGAATATAGTCAGACCATTTTCTGTTTTGAAAGGATTGTTTTAGTTGAAACTAAATAATTTAGCCAGAAAGGAAAAGAAAGTGTCTCTGCTAGTCTATACCATGGGTTTCTGCTCTCCCCCAGGAGACCTTGAGAAGGGCTGTGAGAAGTAAACATTGACATGCAAGCCAGGAATCACTAGAGATAGTCTGCATATTAATTATTTGTGAAGATTAATTAATTAGTTGTTCAGTTTATGAATAATGTATTTCCAATTTCTATAAATTATTTTGGAATAGCTACTCTAAACTTAAGAGGAAACCACAATTTTTAATGTTAAGATTGTCTTTACCACACTACCTTGAGACAGATACTTAAATTAATTTGTCATTAGTTCTTCAAGGAGTTTTGAGACTGGGGTGGGATTGAAGTGAAATAAGAGTATATATAAATAAGAGTATATCTATACGAGAGTACTTCAAAAATATTCATGTAAAGCCTTTTGATTTTTTAAAGCAATTTAATTTTATTTAATGAATATCAAATGTTAGTACTCAGAATTTGGAATATTGTTGTCATTTATTTTCTTCCTTAAGGTCCCCTGCTTTCCGCTATGTCTTTAAATGTGTTATGTGCACAAATTGTGTGTCTTTTACTTAACAGGTGTACTCAATTTAAAAGCTATCATTTTAGGTGAATGATTTTTAAGTTTCTGTTATTTGAATTTTAATTCAGTGCTGCAGGTGGAGAAATTTTCAACTTGTGTTTACCTGAGCTGGCTGAAATGGTCTCTGAAAATGATGTTATCAGACTTGTTAAACAGATACTTGAAGGAGTTTATTATCTGCATCAGAATAACATTGTACATCTTGATTTAAAGGTAACAATAATATGTGATTTAAAGTAAAGGAACAACTGTGTTTCTTCTCAGTTCTTGGTGTACACAATTCCAAGTTGGTGTTGATAGGAAACTGCAGTCAGGTTGTGGTTGTCTGCATTGCACTGGGGTGTTCTTTGCCTGTGTGCTATGTGCACTTGATTTTTTACTGGCAAACGGAAGACTGCATGTGTGGGCAACTCAGGAACTCCTGGGCTCTTGGCTTTAGTCTTTTGGTTTTTTTCCAGGTCATTCAGGCTCCTTACTTTACCTTGATGCTTCTCTCTCTCATGTTGTTATTCTTTCCCCCTTAGGCATCCTCCACATCCACACAAAATTCTTAAAATCTATATCAATCTATTTCTTACTTTCTGAGCAGTGGATTCTTCTGCTTCCATTATCACTTTCTTTTCCTTCCGTCCTTCCCCCTTCACCTTTCTCCTCCTCCATCATTATCATTATCATTATCATTATCATTATCATTATCATTCACTCTATCTACAGCCCAGGCTTGTCTCCTAATTTCCAAATCTTTGTTTCCAGCTACAGATTAGATACTGTTTAGATGACCTTAAAATCTTTAATTTGTACATGTATCCATCTTAGCCCTTTTGCAAACAAACAAACAAAAAATCTATTTTTCTGAATTGGGGCCCTCTGTTGAGGGGAGGGATGGTATTTAGCACCTAGGATCCTTCCATTTATCCTATTGATAAAATCCTAAAAAAGAAACAACATGGTCAAGGACAGTATAATCATATTCCCACCACTTCCTGTTGGATATTTTTCCTGCTAAGGACAAACCAAGTGTGTTACATAGCCTCACATAGCACTTGAAGTCAAGGATGGCATATAAACCTGTATTTATTGAATCTAAACAATAACTGAGCTGACAACATAGCTGATTCCTCTCACTTTTTCCTCCTGTGATAGTCTCTGTGACTTAATAATAGAGTTATTGTATATTCCCTCCAAATTGGGAAGCTATTATGATTTTTTGCATAGTCTGGTAGCAGCACCTTGCCTGGTGTACAGATTTTGAAAACAGCAGAGAACTTTGTTTTTTGTAAAATATTTATTTTATTTATTTGAAAGACAGAGTTACAGAGAGAGGTAGAGACAGAGTGAGAGGTCTTCCATCCGATGGTTCACTCCCCAGATGGCCGCAACAGCTGGAGCTGTGCTAGTCCGAAGCCAGTAGCCAGGAGCTTCTTCCGGGTCTCCCATGTGGGTGCAGGGGCCCAAGGACTTGGGCCATATTCTACTGCTATCCCAGGCCATAGCAGAGAGCTGAATTGGAAGAGGAGCAGCCGGGACTTGAACCGGTACCCATATGGGATGCCGGTACTTCAGGCCAGGGCTTTAACCCACCTGCTGCACCACAGCGCTGGGCCCCAAACAACAGAGAACTTTCTAATAAGCCTAAAATAATAAAGCAGATTCACATGGTTCTAAAAGGCAACAGATGAAACATCTTATTGTCAAGACTACAAACCTGGGGACAGTCAGACACAGCTCATAATGAACCATCGTATTTTACTGAACATTTTCTGTCTCTGTAAGTATATGTACATTCATTACTCCATGCTGCCTTTTATGCTATTCCCAGAACCCCTTTCTATCTGGCATATTCCTACTTAATCTTTTAAGACTCACTGTATACAATATCTCTGCCATAAAACTATCTTGTACTTTCTTATGGACAGAATTATGTAGTATTATCTTTATTAATGAATATTCTACACATCATGACCAACTAGTCTTTGTACCTATCCATCCATTTTCTATGTCCTCCAATTCCAGAATTTTGTTTTTGACTTTATGCCTCATTCAATATATAGCTGCTTCTAAAAATAGTTCAGTAAATGTTTAATGAATGTCTTAATGAAATATATAATAGCTAATCAATAAATTCCACTTAATTTACATCCAACCTGGGGGAAATACTGAAACTAATATTTTTATAGCATATTACTTATCAATTTTTGTTCTTTATTTAGCCACAGAATATATTATTGAGCAGTATATACCCTCTTGGGGACATAAAAATTGTAGATTTTGGAATGTCTCGAAAAATAGGGAATGCATGTGAACTTCGGGAAATCATGGGAACACCAGAATACTTAGGTAAGAATTTCCTATTATTTTCTATACTATTTTGAAATTTAATAAGAAGATGATACCTTTTTAAAAATTAAAGCATATAATTCTAGGATTCATTTGGCTCAAGTGCATTGAAACTTGGTTTATGATGCATTTTAAAGGAAATGTAGTGAATGTAGGAGAATTGAAATGTTCACAGCAATTCTTAGGACATTGAGTACATAAGTGCGAAAGTTTATTGTTTGTGTATAAAGGCTTTGTATATCATGAAAAAAGAAATGGGTTAGAGGGAAGCCAGAGATGAGTAGAAAATGGAAAAAGAAAAGGTGAAAGAATCAAGTCATCTGTGATTACCATTTAAGCCTGAGTGTTGGATACATCACACTTCCACATCTGTCGGGTCCCAGCTGTTTGCAATACAAACAAAAAGTTCATGGAAAATGCATTTTAAAGAGAAATTCTGCATCGATTTCAAATTATTTTTGCCTCAAAATAAACTCATACTAACTTTTCTGAATAGAGACTAGTTTGAGGCAATAAGGACAAGGCATCAGTTTAAAAAGAGCCCCTATCAAAGCATGTTATCAAAAATTGATGGTGAAGCTTGAGTAGAAGAATGGTGAACATCACTGATGGCTTATGAAAAGTTTATGAGGACAATGCTCCAAAGAAATCAGCAGTTTATGAATGGATAACTTGTTTTAAGAAGGAATGAAGAGAAGTTATAAACATGGGAGTATAGGAATCAACGCAGATTTCCAATAACTAGTGGCTGGAATATATATACAATGGAATACTACTCAGACATAAAAAAAGAATGAAACTGCCCTTCTCAACAAAATGGTTGCAATTGGAGACCGTTATGCTTAGTGAAATAAGCAAGTCCCCAAAAGACATGTTTCCCTGATTTGTAGTAACTATTACAAAATTACAAAAGCAATTACAAGATTACAAAAGCATGTAATGTATATAAACAAAATTGACATTTTGAGATTTGATTACCTATATAGCCCTTGTCTATACTCTTGAGGAAGAGTAGTCTTTCTACTTATTATTTTTTGAATTCTTTATTCAGTGGAGAGATCAGCTTGTGCTTATAAAGTAAATTGAAAGTATGTCATTGTAAAAATGAAAAGAAAAATAAGGAAGGAGGAGGGAGGGTAGGGTGAGTAATATCATTATGCCCTTAAACTGTATTTATGAAATACATGAAACTTGTTCCCTTTATATAAATAAGAATTTTTTTAAAAAACTCTGTTGAAGATGAGGATGATAGCAACAGCCCATCCACATCAGTGTGCTAGGAAATGATTTAATCTTCTTTGTGCCCTAAGTGAAGAGGACTGAGAAATCACAGCAGAAACAATAGCCAACACCATAGACATCTCAATCAGTTCAGCTCATACAATTCTGACTGGAAAATTAAAGTGGAACAAACTTTCCACTCACTGACTGCTAAAGTCTTGCTGCAGATGATCTTCAGACAAGAGCAAATCTTCCAAGGGAATTCTAAGCAAGTGGGATCAAGATCCTGAAGCATTTCCTCAAGGCATCGTAACAGGAGTTGAAACATGGCTTTATCAGTACAAGCCTAAAGACAAAGCACAAGTAATGGTGACCAAGAGTTGAAAGTGGTCCAATCAAAGCAAAAGTCAGTTTTTTGGGATGCTAAAGGCATTTTACTTGTAGACTTTCTGGAGGGCCAAAGAATGATAACATCTGCTTAATATGAGAATGTTGTAAGCAAGTTAACCAACACTTTACTAGAAAAATGCGCGGGAAAGCTTCAGCAGAGAATCCTTGTCCGTCCCACAATGCTCCTATTACTTGTCTCATAAAACAAGAGCAACTTTGCAAGAATTTTAATGGGAAACCTTTGGGCGTCCAGTTTATAGTTTTGATTTAACTCATTCTGATTTCTCTGTGTTTCTTAATCTTAAAAAGTGCTTAGTAAAAGGGCCCCCGTTTTTCGTTAGTTAATAATGTAAAAAAGACTACATTGGCATAGGTAAATTCTGAAGATCCTTAGTTCATTGCAGTTGGACTGGTATTATCCCTGAAAATGGCTGGGTTCATCATTTCCAAAGTGTCTTGAACTTGATGCAGCTTATGTTAAAAAAATAGAAGTTTATGTTTTTAATTTTCATCTTTTAATTCCATTTTCCATAAACTTTTGAGCACCCTTATATCTTCAGTTTTACAGAAGTTGTTAGCTAGATACCACCCTTTTTGATACTACCGCTTTAAAATATGAGGTTTTGCAGGTTATGAAAGGATGGTTTTGAAAATAAAGGCACCGAAAAGGAAACTATGTTTGGGTACTCTAGAAATAGTGAACAGAGTCCTCAAATTAGATCATACATATAAAGTATTTTTAATTTATGTGAAACAGCATATGAATTTAAAATATTTTGATTTAAAATATATTTATATTTAAAATGATTTATTTATTTAAATTCTTTTTTGGATTTTTTATTTATAAAAGAGAATAGATATCATGTATTTCATATGTACAATTTTAAGCACATCATGATACTTCCCACCCTCCCTCCTTCCTTCCTTCTTTTTTTTTTCCTTTTAATTTTTGCAATAATCTTCTTACATTTCTTGGTTGTTGTACTTAGGCGTTGAAAAGATATGGCTAAACAGAGTACCAACTCGGATAGGCACATGTTTATCAAAAATAATATCAAAGTAAATTACTAACTTTTGAATGCTAATATGAGCTAAAGTACCCTAAAATAAATGGTTGTAATTATTAATAACTGAGCTCACAGAAATACCTAAGGTCATAGGTGGCTTATTAATATGTGTGACTCAAATGCTTTATTAATAAAAATGTTAGGTTTTAGGTAACAGTTTTTCTTTGGGGGAAATTATGAAATCATATTTTGAAACCATAAAATCTTTTTTTAAAATTTATTATTTGAAAGGCAGAGTTGTAGATAGAGGAGAAACAGAAAAAGAAATCTTCCTCTAGTGGTTTACGCCCCAGTGGCTGCAATGGCTGGGGCTGGGCCAGGTTGAGGCTAGGAGCCTGGAACTACATCTGGGTCTCCCATGTGGATGGCAGGGTCCTAAGCACTCAGGCCATCTTCTGTTGCCTTCCCAAGCATACCAGTGGGGAGCAGGATCAGAAGCAACACAGCCAGGCCTTGAACCTGTATTCTGATAGGGGATGGCGCTGTCAAGGAGGCAGCTTAACCTGCATGATAGCTCTGGCCCAAGTGAAATCTTTTTTCAGTCATAAATACTATTGGAAATATATGGTAATTTTAGAAAATATTGAGAATTTATTTTGCACCATTTTTTGGCAGGGAAAAGACAACAGAAATTGTTTAGGAAATTAAATTTCAATAGTTTAAAAATGATATTTAATGTAGTTGAAAATATAACATTTCCAGGATGAATGATTACTCATAATGTTATTATAAATGCTTATCATCCTATTTACTCTGAAATCAGTCAAATAAAATAATGTCAATTAATTCCTAACAAAGCAATACAACAAATTTAAAAATCTAGCTTCTAGGATTTAATATCTTCATAATTTTGTTTCTGAGATTAACCTTAATGAGTGGTTGTTTAACTACAAAGCTATTCCAAGAATATGATCAGTATTTTTAAAAAATGTATTTATTTTCATTTTATTTGAAAGGCAGATATATGTATGTGTATGTGTGTATACAATATATAGATATACACACGTAGAGAATGATAGAAAGAAATTGCCTATTACTCACCAAATTTCCATAACAGCCAGGGCTATGCCAGGCTGAGGCCAGGAGGCTAGAACCCAATCCAGATCTCCCACATAAATGGCCAGAACCCAAGTATTTGAGTCATCATCTGCTGCCTTCCAGGGTGCACATTATAGGAAGCTGGATTGGAAGCAAAACTGTTACTTGAAACAGGTACTCTGATAAGGGATGTGGGCATTGCAAGCAACATCTTATCTGCTGTGCCAAACACCTGTCCCAGTATCAATATTTCTGAGCCAACTGGTCCTGTAATTTACTGAAATTAGATAATGTTTATCATAGGATAATCAATATTTTAAATTTCCAATCAAGGTGGCATGTATCAATGCCATCTCACTATTCCAAGTGATCAATTTCAGTTCACAGTTGATCACACTGATAGGTGTAAGAGTCAAAGGGATCACACAAACAGGACTAGTGTCTGCTAATACCAACTGATAGAATCAAAAAGGGAGAGAACGATCCAACATAGGAAGCGGGATACACAGCAGACTCATAGAATGGCAGATGTCCTAAATAGCACTCTGGCCTCAGAAATTTCCATCTCATATCTTAACTCTAGGCATCACAAAATTGAGTCCAGTTTGAATTTCATATGAAGTTTTAAAATTTGTCAGTTGAGTTTGAATTTTGTTTTCTCTTTCAGCTCCAGAGATCTTGAACTATGATCCCATTACCACGGCAACAGATATGTGGTAAGATTTTTGTTAGCTACCTAAATGCCTTTATTGGAAATTGGGTAATGTATATTCTGGGATTCTTTAATTCCAGTGTTAATAATACTTCCTTTTTAAAAAAAAATATTTATTTATTTATTTGAAAGGTAGAGCTACAGAGAGGCAGAGGCAAAGAGATTCTTCTGGGTCTTCCACGCAGGGACCCAAGGACGTGGGCCGTCTTCTGCTGCTTTCCCAGGCCATAAAAGAGAGCTGGGTTGGAAGTGGAGCAGCTGGGACTAAAACCAGTGCCCATATAGGATACCGGCACTGCAGGCAGCATCATGCCACAGCACTGGCCCCAGTAATACTTTCTCTTTTTTTTATTTTTTATTTTTTTATTTTTTCATTTTTTTGACAGAGTGGATAGTGAGAGAGAGAGACAGAGAGAAAGAAAGGTCTTCCTTTTGCCGTTGGTTTACCCTCCAATGGCCGCCGCGGCCGGCGCACTGCGGCCGGCGCACCACGCTGATCCGATGGCAGGAGCCAGGTACTTATCCTGGTCTCCCATGGGGTGCAGGGCCCAAGGACTTGGGCCATCCTCCACTGCACTCCCTGGCCACAGCAGAGAGCTGGCCTGGAAGAGAGGCAACCGGGACAGAATCTGGCGCCCCAACCGGGACTAGAACCCGGTGTGCCAGCGCCGCAAGGCAGAGGATTAGCCTAGTGAGCCGCGGCGCCAGCCCCCAGTGATACTTTCTTGAAAAGATTTTTACTCAGTATCATTATCGTGCCACAGGAAAATATTCACCTGTCCTTGCTTTTAATCTCTGAGCCAGTGGTACAGGAATAAATAGGAACACTGCTTTGGGTGACTTAATAGGATAAGAGAACAAAATAGCCATGGTATAGTGTTATACTAAAATTTATAACTGTAATAAAGATAAAATGCTTAATAAGCGTGGAAGAAACAGCAAACAATGCAGACCTAGGTCTAGAAGAATGAAGAGAAAGTATTTGCACACAAGTTTAGTTTTAGAGGGTAATCTCTAGGTAATTATGAGTTTTTGTGTAATAGGGAGTGGAACTAGAATTTATACTGCAACTTCGGTTGGGACCAGTGGTGGGTACTGACTCCATTGACCAAATAGAAGAGAACAGACTGAATCTCTATGCTCCATTAGACTACTAATAGGTGTTCCAAGGAAAAGTAATCCTATGCTAAATCAGTTTGTGACACATGTACTTGTCTTTTTCTAGCTCCAGAGCACTGTTCTTGTCATTAATATATTTATAGCTTGGAAAAATTTTTGCAGTAAAAAATAATTTACTTGCACCACTTTGTGCTTTACCAAAACTTATAGACTCTCATTTGCACAAAACCCCTGCTTATATTTCATAGATCATTACCTTATCATTGGATACCATTTTAAAAATGCTGCAGCAACTTTGTATATTCAAAAACAGGTATCTGTGTGAAGGCTAGATTGAAAGTATAATTATAAATATTTAACAGTATATTTGTGTAATAGGATACTTCAGAAAGTTTGTGGAAAAAATAGAATTCAAAGATGTGTTCCTTTTGGTGTAAAAATTTTTTAAATCCATGGCATAATTTTTTCCTTATATACATTTTCGTGAACTTTTTGAAGGTCTCTCACTAAACATATATGTGCATTTCCTTGTATTCCTTTTCTGTGAAGCATACTTTGAGGTAACACAGTATTTTTAATAATAAATTACAGGATCTTTGAAGAATGGTTTAAATCTGTACAAAATTGGTTTAAATACTGATTTTTGAGGAAAGGAGTATGTAGAATATTCATTATACTTTATATAAGTGCTTTAAAGTTAACATACATTTTAAATTCTCTTGTTTTTTAGGAATATTGGTATAATAGCATATATGTTATTAACTCACACATCACCATTTGTGGGAGAAGACAATCAAGAAACGTACCTCAATATTTCTCAAGTTAATGTAGATTATTCAGAAGAAACTTTTTCATCAGTTTCACAGCAGGCCACAGACTTTATCCAGAGCCTTTTAGTAAAAAATCCAGAGTAAGTAATAACATTAATTTCTGTAAGTACTATCACAAAATAAATAGCATGTGTCTGTTAGGAAAGATATATTCTAAAATGGTCATCAAATTATTAGAAATATGCTCCGGTTTCAGATAAACTGGGTAGAGAGGTGGCATAAAAAATTATTAAATAACAAACACATAACTTGAAGTATAAAATATACAACAGGGAATTCTGGAGTGAAGAGAAGATTTGGGTTATTTAATTTTTAACCGGCCTTTAATCCCTGAAGTTGCCTAAAATTAGTAGAAAATTTACAATACACATAGCTGGTTATAAGACTGTTGTGAATGCTTATATTAAATAATTATATCTATGTAATAAGTATAAATTACCATTGGGAAATCTTGAAGGATAAGATGCACTTTGACAGCCTCCTGAAGAAGTGACTTGAAACCTTGGCTCAGGACTCTTCCTTACTCCTTGGCAACTTCCAGGAAAGAAAGGGAAAAGCTGACCTTTTCTGTAGTTGAGATCAGGCCTGTTTACTTTAAAATGGTGTAGAAGCTATAATATGGCACCTTTAATTGGGATTTTTATTTTTTTAGTGGTTTGATCTTTTGTCTCTGACAATTACTTAGCCTTATGGAGAATTCAGTCTATTACCTGTTTTTAAAAGAAACCCTTATAATTTTCTTAATTATTTTATTGGGTTAATTCAAGTTCAAACAAACTCACTCCCTAAGTTTTAGATACGAATAACTGTTTAATAGAAATAGTAATCATACTGCCTTGTTTCTACTTGTAAGCCGTTTAATTTTCTTTTTTTAAGATTTATTCATTTTACTGGGGCCAGCATCATGGCACAACAGGTTAACTAAGCTGCTGTCTCCAATGCTGGCCTCCCATATGGGCTCCAGTTTAGTGTCCTTGCTGCTTCAGTTTTGAGACAGCTCCCTGCTGGTGGCCTGGGAAAACAGTGAAAGATAGCCTAAGTACTTGGGTCACTGTCACCTACATGGGAGACCTGGATGAAGCTCCTGGCTCCTGGTCTTGGTCTGACCCAGCCCTGGCTGTTGGAACCATCTGGGGAGTGAACCAACAGATGGAAGATCTCTCTCTATATATATCTCTATATATATCTCTCTATATATATATCTGCCCCCCCCCCCAACTTCCTACCTCTTAAATCTTACAAATATTTGAAAGAGAGAGAGAGATTCAGAAAGAAAGATTTTCCACCCGCTGGCTCACTCCCCAAAATAGCCATAGCGTCTAGGGCTGTTCCAGGCCAAAGCCAGGATCCAGAACCTCCATCCTGGTTTTCTGTGGGGATAGCCAGGGACCAAAAACTTGGGCCATAATCTGCTGCTTTCCCAGACAGGTTAGCAGGGAACTAAATGGAAACAGGAGCAGCCGGAACTCAAACAAGAGCTCATATGGGATGCCAGCATCACAGGCAGCATAACCTGCTGCGCTACAACATCAGCACCAATTATCATTTCCTTACATATCTTTTTCCTAGATTCTAAAATGTCTATAGAGAACATTTGGTTTTTTATAATCAGAAAACAGCTGTGCCTAGAAACAAAAGAATAAAGAAACATGTCCTAAATAGTAAAGGAAGTTATATGAAGGTTGGAATTAGGAGTATAGGTAGATGTTCTTTGAAAAATTGTGATATTTGATATTACTTTCATTAACAGAAAACAAAACTTAAAAACTCGAAAGTATTGAATAAACATTATTAATGATTGGACTTTGTAATATTTCATAGTTGCCTCTTTTGTGAATACAAAATAACAATAGAGTATAAATTACTTAGAAATATTTTCCTCCAAAAAGTTTGTAAACCCAACAGATTTTGTAATTTTATTACTTTTGTCAGACTAACATATGTTCTCAAGCTTTTTGACTAGTAAATTCTATGATAAGTTGAATTTTTGGCATATGTCAAAATTAAAGAAACTCTGGGTATTCCAGTTTTTCTTCTTTCAGCAATCACAAGTAGGAAACGCTTTTAACATATAAAATGGATCCATACATGAATAGGTTTCAGATTTGGAGTTGATAAGGAATGCACAGAATATCAGTCATTTGAACTTAATAGTTTTACTTTGTAGGAAAAAAAAAATGTATCATTTAACCTAGAAAGTTAGGCAAGTATTTCTTAAGAAAAGGAAATTTCAAAATTAAGTCTACTTTCCATATCTTCTAGTCAATGACAGACTAGGATTGGGATTTATCATTAGAGAAATTAGTGGTTAGTCCATGAAAAATCCTTTCTATGTAAGAAAATGTTTTTTTCCAAGAAAGGGTTTTTTGGAAAAAATAAAGCTATTTTTCTTCTCTCCTTATATAAATAAAAGTTGGTGGTAGAATGAAAATTTTAGTTCAAAAAGCAAAATCGTGATAGTACTATAAGAAGGAAGGATTTAAAAAAAATCTTAGAGAAGATATTGGTAGGAGTGAAAGCTAGAAGTCAATTGTCATCTTTCAAAATATAAAGGCTGAATAACTTTACTAGTAATTTATCTTCTATAAATAATGAGAGAAGTTATCAAAAAAGAACCATCTTCTCAAGGTTAATTGCAACAGTATAATACCAAAATGCTGGGAGCATTAGTGGGGATATGGTGAAATAAATCATGATAAATCCCTGTGAAAGAGTATTAAATAATATAGCTGTTAATCTGTTCACTCTGTACCAATGTGGAGAGAAGCCTGAGTGGATAAAGAAAGCAGATTGCAGAAAAACATGAACCTCTGTGTGTGGGTGGTATGGATACACACATAGTTATGTCTGTAGAGAAAATAGCCAGAGGTGGGATTGGGGAGTAAGCGAACAGAAGATAATTTTACTTTTTACCTTCATGAGAGCGTACATGGTACAGTGTTCAAAAGAACACACTGCAACATTAAGGTTTCACTTAACTGTACCATTTACAATGAATGTTAGTAGCTATTATCATTATTAATCTCTTCTGAACTGTTTGGATTTTATACTGTGTGTTATTTTCATAGCATTTTTTATGTCTAAAAATCTATCAAATTGAAGACATTTGCAACTTGATTTTTAGTTCTTTTTCCCATTATGCATTCTTTCAAAGGAAAAGACCAACAGCAGAAATTTGCCTTTCTCACTCTTGGCTACAGCAGTGGGACTTTGGAAGCCTGTTTCACCCTGAAGAAACTTCAACTTCCTCTCACACTCAGGATCTTACAGTAAGGTCTTCTGAAGACAAGACATCTAAATCCTCTTGTAATGGAACCTGTGGTGATCGAGAAGACAAAGAAAATATCCCAGAGGATAGCAGCATGGTTTCTAAAAGATTTCGCTTTGATGATTCATTACCCAGTCCCCATGAACTTGTTTCAGATTTGCTGTGTTAGCACTTTTACCTTTGACTCACTGGGACTGAATTTGAAATTTTTAATCCACTCCAGTGTGAGATTGTGGTTTGTAGCCTTCTATCTGACATGTTTATATTATAAATGCATTTTTTGTATAGGAGAATGTAGGGGAGCATTTTAATGTTAAATTGCTGGTTGCTGGCATAATCTCCTTCCATCTTCTATGGAAAATGACATATTTAAATATATGACAAAAAGTGAAATTGCCTATGTCAGCTTACATATTAATGAACAATTCATTTTTAGATGAACTTATGAAAATGTTTTACATGTCAGTAAAAAAGTTTGGGTTATATTATGGTTGATAAACTGAACAAAATGAAGATGTTGGAGTTTAATCAGTTCTCTCTAAACTGAGTCCTTTATTATACCTTTATTGACATAAGTTGTTTAGGAAAACAGTGCCAACTTTCAACCAAAATACACATTACTTTATAGATACTTAAGAGAAATTACATTTGAAAATGTTTTGTAATTACAAATATTTGAAACCATGTAAGATTTCTTTTGCATGTGGTCTGCTATATGATAGAGGCCATTTAAATACAGCAAAGGAGTCTATTAGAAACCTGATCAGAGGTACTCTCTGTATGTTGGAGCAGTGAGGAGAGCAGCATGGCTTCATCTTTTAACACAGACATCTTTTGCCTACACGCAACATACTTCAGACACAATAAAGTCTGGAAAGCAGAGAATACATGGTAGGCAAGTGCAGAGGTTTTCGGTCTGCAGAATTTCTAGAGAAGGTATTTATGTAAAAGTAAGTGAGTTCTGTTTTTAGTAAGCTTATTGAATTCCATGTTTTCTAAGTCTTGGAATACAAGATAATCATCCAGAGTTTAAAAGAATGCATAAAAAAATCATAGCACCAGTAGGACTATTAATTGATACAGTGTCAAAGTCAGCAGTAGCAAGATTGATATGATCATAAAACATGATGACATCAAGCTCTTCTGAGATGGCTCAGCATAAGGCTATCCAGAGAGAGCCTCTTACTATGGGCTTTTACTGGAACCAGTGCAGCTAAGTCTAAGGTGAGCAGAATCATGGCCAGTGATTATATTCAGTCCCAATGGGGGAGGACATGTACTCCTTCTTGGTGAGTTTCTACCTGGTGACAATTGAAAAAGAAAACTATTGTATTATTATGTCAGGATAACTAATCTTATGACCATGTTACCATTTTATCAAACATATTTGAAAAACTCTGGTATTCCCCACTTTGAATCAAATATTACTCTAAAATATCGAAATTTTGATAAGACTGCAAATTCTTTAGTAATAACTTAGAAGTCTTTAATCATCAGGTCACTTTATTTAACTAAATATTGAATTCCTTTCATACCATCAGCAGTTTTTAAGGAAAAGTTATTTCTACTTATATATGTGTGTGTGCGCACATATTTGTATACGAATAAGTATATGTATATATATGTAGATCGATAAAACATAGTTTTTGGACAATTTTCTCTTAGAAATTTTTGCTCTAGTATATTGTGCTCAACTCAGGTGCCAAAAAAGCTCTTGTCTTATATACATATATATCATAAAATTTCTTTGAGAAGCAGTTTGTTGGTCTGATAAATTAGACATTGCAGAAGCTAAATTGAGCTCTTGTGTATGTAAAACTGATGAGTCTAAATTATTGATTGTTCATTTATTTGCCTTCAGTATTAAAATTATCTAGAGAAAGCTTAGTAAGTCATTGGATAATGAGGAAATATTTACTTTTCCAAAAGACTGTGTTACTATGTTTTAAGTTTTTTAGAGAAATTATGCCATAACAAAATATAAAAATCAAGAGATGTTTAAATTTTGAACTATAAACTAGTTCTTAAATATTTTATGCCAGCTTTCTTTTTCTCTGGGGAATCTTAAAATAGTTTGTTTTTCCTTAATTAAAAGACTACACAAAGGCATAAATTTCCATGCCTGTTTTCTAACAGTAAGTTTTATTGTAAGAAAGCAACCAGTGGCTGCACAAGGAATATAAAAATCCAATCTTCCAAAAGGTGAAGTTAAATATTTTCACTGATTGAATGTGAAAATAAGCCAATCTTTCAAGAGAATTTATTAACAAATGACTCAATTCTTCCAAGACTGAACACAAATTTTTAAAAATATACCAAAAGCAGATGATCCATCTCACTAAGGTAAAAATCTAGACAGTTTCTATGAAAAAACAAATATCAGTAACACATAAATACATCTGAAGAGAGCTGTTAAATCATGATAATTTGGCAAAGTTTAATTTATACTATGAGAAAGATCCCTGCCAGATGAGATTTTAAAATTAATGATGTATAGATGATAATTAAAATTGTCATTTTATTGTTTTCCCTTCAGTAAAATTAACCTAATGCTGAGCAATGAAATTATAATAGCACTTTAAAAGAAGTACCTGTTCTCCACTCTGTAAGGAGATAAGGTACATGTGCCAGACTATAAATCAACACATTGCTTCCTTATCACAAAAGTCAGTGGCACCAGTGTGATTAGTGATGTAATTGATTTTCATTCTGGTACAAGCATTTTCATTTTGAATGGGTCACAAATAGTTCATGGGCCATCCTTTGATAGCCTTGCTCTAAGCAACATTTATAAATGTTGATCCTTTATAACTGTTTACATTTCTTATGTTTATTTTTGAATTTTCAGTGTGTTATATAATGCGGAAACTTATCCTTATTCATTGTGGTGTAACCAGTTGGTACTTTAATTGCAAGTTGTACTAAAATTATCTGACTTACAATTTAAGAGATTATTATCAATTTATTATTTCATATAGGACTTTGAAGAACAATAATTTATAAATTTCACACAAATTCCAACTTCTGTGCCATCATAATCGTGTTGCTTAAGGCATATTGGCTGGTATTATGAATACTGTAGTAAAAGAAAAAACTTGTTTATTATAATTATTCTTCTTGCTAAACATTAAAAAGCACTTTTATACATTTGTGGTTATCATTTTTCTTGAAGCATTTTAAAATCTGCTGTTCTTAAATGGTTGCCTGAATATTTTAGCTTTGACTCATCATCTTTGAACCCCCTTTCCAATATAAAAATGTTTATTAGACTCTGTCTATTGGAAATGCCACAAAAGTTAGAAAACAAACAGGTCTATTCTATGATAATCATTGATACTTTTAGAAAGTGTCCCAGTGATGGCAATGCCTACATGTTGCATAAAAATGAATAAGAAATTCTCTTTTTTTAAGATTTATTTTTACTTATTTGAAAGAGGGAGTTACAGAGAATTAGAGCCAGAGAGAGAGAGAGAGGTCTTCCAATTGGCTGCAATGGCCAGAGCTGAGCCAATCCGAAGCCAGGAGCCAGTAGCTTCTTCCAGGTCTCCCATGTGGGTACAGGGACCCAAGGACTTGGGCCATCTTCCACTGCTTTCCAGGCCATAGCAGAGAGGTGGATTGGAAGTGGAGCAGCTGGTACTTGAACCAGAGCCCACATGGCATGCCAGAGCTTCAGGCCAGGGCTGTGCCACAGGGCCGGGCCCCAATACGGAATTCTTAAGAAAGTTTAAACTGATCGTGGACTGAGGTAAAATAGATTCCCATTATTCATTGTAGTCATGTTCTACAAAGTTCCCATACTTGGTGAATGCTGAAACATTGCTTCTAGGGGAAATACAGGGATAGATTCCTGCAAGGCTCTGTTCATAACATTTTTGTTAAGTGATCAAAATGTAGCCTTGTTTTATATATGTTTCTTTATAAAGACATTTTATTTAACATGTAATCACAGTTCATTAACATTGAACACATCACGAAATGCATTGTTAAGTCATGCCTGAATAAACTTTCCTAACACGTGTTTTCTCCATAAAGTACATCACAGTCTTGTGTAGAAACATTATACAGCACTTAAATACTATTCTTCAGGGTCATTTTAAGTTGTGAAATCAACAAAATGTATTAAAATGCAGAAAGAAGACTAAATAGCATGCAAAAGGATATTTGTCTTACAGTATGAGAGCTGAAGAAGTTGCCTTACTCAGTTTCAGAACACGTTGTGGCAGGTGACTAGCATTTTTTTCTTTAGCCACTGTGAATATGTCTGCAGATGACTAGGAAAACACCATCAGTGTTGATTTTGGATTTATAAAAATAAATTTTAGCTAGTAAATGAATTCATTAATATGGTGTCTGGGAATCATCAGGGTCAACTGTACACGATAAAGTCATGTAAGGATTATGAAGTGTGAAAAGTGTGAAGAGTGAAAATCTGGCAAAAAGTGAGGAACACAGGAGTCCTTGAGACTTTTGTCAAATGGGTAGAGCTTATGATCTAAAAAGAAAGACAAACACTAAAAGGTAAACATCTTAATTTGCCTATTGTGTTGGGGCCCCGGCACTCTGCACTGTGGGTAAAACCGCTGCCTGCAGTGTCAGCATCCCATGTGGGCGCCGGTTTGGGTACCACTTCTGATCCAGCTATCTGCTATGGCCTGGGAAGGCTGTAGAAGATGGCTTAGGTCCTTGGTCCCCTGCACCCACATGGAATACCCGGGAGAAGCTCCTGGCTCCTGGCTTCGGATCGACACCACTCCAGCCGTTGCTGCCAATTGGGGAGTGAGCCAGTGGATGGATGACCTCTCTCTCTCTGCATCTCCTTCTCTCTCTGTGTAACTCTGATTTCAAATTAATTAATTAATTAATCAATCTTTTAAAAAACAGTGCATTGTGTAAAGTGTGTAGCCAAATAGTCTTTGTAATACTAATTTATAATCTCTATTTCACCCTTTATGTCTGAATACTCTGCTGCTTTGCATCAGGGAAGGTATATGGTAGCAGTCAAAATATGCAGACCATAGAAAAGTCCCCAAAACTTCCTATTGGGGATTTTGTTTGAAAATAATTAAGTCTATTTTGGAAAAAAATAGATTTCCTAGTCACCTGCAGACATATTCACAGGAGAAAAATATTTGAGTCTTAGCGCAATGAGAATCTTGCTGAATATCACCAGACCTTGTAGAAAATGACCCAGCACTAGAAATGTGCTTTCTAGGGGCCTGTGCTATGGTGTAGTGGATTAAAGCCCGGGCCTGCAGCACCGGCACCCCACTTCTGATCCAGCTACCTGATAATGTGCCTGGGAAAACAGCAGAAGAAGGCCCAAATGCTTGGGCCCCTGCATCTTGGGGGATCCAGATGAAGTTCCTGGCTTCTGGCTTCGGGTCTTCTCAGCTCTGGGTGTTGTGGACATTTGGGGAGTGAACCAGCAGATAGAAGACTCTCTCTCCCTCATTCTGTAACTCAAATAAATAAATCTTTTTTAAAAATGTGGCTTTAGGAGGAAGGTAGAAACAAAAGAATTGTGTCTGGGTAAATTTGACTCTTGAGTGAGCCTGGCAGGGAGAAGGAAAGAGCAATGAGCTGAGAAACATTTCTCACGTAGGTCTTTGAACAACATATTCTCTGACTTCGAACAACATCTTCCTGAACAGAATACTCTTTAACTATAGAAACAACAGATTTCATTTAGCTCATTCTAACAGTGTTTCTTGGTGAAAACTGAAAGCTTTTGATTGCTGCTGGTAAATTGCAAGTCCCTATAGGCAATTCTACCTCTGTTGAATATGCTGTAGGTTGGCTAATCCCTAGTCAGAGCCTAGCCCCTTCTCTCTCAACTGCCTCCAATATAGAAGCTATTCCAGGTCACTTGGTGTTAGGGAAGAACTGGAAGCATGCTGGGTGGCTTCTGAAGGCTTTTGATTTCTTGATGAAAACTAGAAATGTTGTGGACAGTCCCTGTCTCCCCATCATTTTAGGTGGAGGCTATTTCTACCATCTCATAACTGACAGAAAAGACAAGGAAATCCTGGAGATGCTAGCCCTGATGTCATGGATCCACTGAAGTCACTGAAGCAATAGCGGCCATCCTCCTCTTCACAACTTGTTAGCATGCAATAAAAACAAGGAAGCACTTTTTGTGCAACCACTTTCTTTTGTGTTTTCTGTCATTAGCAACTGAAAGCATCTTGATTGATGAAATCATCTGTGTTTCCCACACTCACATTCTGTTTGCTGTGGCAAACAAAGAAAGTATTCTGTTTTGTAAACACTTTGTTCAACACTGAAAAACCTTGCATTTTTATTGCAGGATTCCTCAGAATCTTCAAGTGAAAAATTTAGTATATAGTGTGTTTCAGAATCACTTTGACAATACTAACATCTTTTTAGATATTATTCATGGATACTTACTTGGAAGACATAGTACCAGATACCAAAGCAATTTAGTCTAATGATTTCCAAAGATATGGCTTTTATTCTAGGAAAAAAATCCAGTTATCTTCTGAGAACCAATCAGTTCATGTACTGGGGAAGGGGCTGGAAAAGCAGTCTCCTAAATTTTGATCCAAGAAAGACTATTTTCAGTAGTCCTCTTTATAGCATTGGACATTTATTAGGAACCACCAATAGGTTCTGATACAAGACACTCTGGATCTGATGAACCCTCAGTATCTTTCTTAAGAGATTTATTTATTTGTTTACTTGAAAGACAGAACATCAGACAGAGGGGGAGAGACAAAGAGACATAGATCTTCCATCCGCTGGTTCACTCCCTAAATGGCTGTGATAGCCAAGGCTGGGCCAGGTCAAAGCCTGGAGCCAGGAACTCCATCCAGTTCTCTTACATGGGTTGCAAGGGCACAAGCACCTGTGCCATTGTCTGCTGCCTTCTAAGGCACATTAGCAGGAGGCTGGATCAGAAGCAGAGTCATCCAGGCCTGGAACCCGCTTGCCCACATGGGATACTGGTGTTGCAAGCCTCAGCTTAACTTGCTGCAGCACCACACCAGCTTCTCAAACTCTTAGCTGTTTCCTTGATATAATGCAATTCTCATGGTCTTCAACCGGAGACCCTCAGCTCAGCCATTCTTGGGCTTCCAGAACCAGAAAACCGGTCTCACTGCTTCTTTCTCTGTCAACTTACCCCTTTTGTAATATTTTCTAGACCTGAAAGCATAGGCCTTTCCATATCTTCTAACTTTGTTTATCAGAACTTTCCTGTGAGCATAAATAAGTTACATAAATCCCCCATATTATTTTCATACACATAAAAACACACACAACATTTCCTATCTTCTAATATAGAAGTGTAAGTTTCTCCTCCTAGTAAATGAATCCATCTTCCAGCTGATTGAAATACATAAGTCCTTCCCCTGAAAATTACAAAAGAAATAGCTCAATAATGTCTCCAGTGGACAAGGTGGGTGCACGTTTTGTCAGACTCAAGTGAATTATCTCTCACGTTTCGGTCTTATGCCAACCCTTATGCTGTGGTCAATTCTCAGAATAAGCAGAAAAGGGATTATTTTATAATTAGTTGTGAGGATTCCACCCTCTGTGGTTCACCACTGGAATTTAAATTTAGTGATCATAATACCCCTTTGAAAGGCCAAAGAAAAGATATATGCTAATTATACTGATATTTCCAGCCAGACTATGAAACGCAACTGGGTCACCAATTACAGCCACCCTTGTAAGCATACAATCAGTCTAGTTAGGCTGAATAACAAAGAAATGAGTGCAAAATGTACATGGGGAAAATTATGAGATGGCGTTAGTGATGAAATAAACGTAACAAATTTTCATGTCCTCTAATGTGTATCACAGCCCTTGCTTACCCCCTAAATCAATAATCATGGTCTTCCCTGGTTTCAGCCCATATCATTTTATATCTAAATTGTATCATTGAATTAACTATGCATATAGTCATAAAAAGTCAAATTTTATGGATTTAATATTGTAGTTTTTCTTCCTTTGAAATCATTTGTTAACCCAATTTAAAAGAATGTGATTGGATTATAAATTAGGTGTTGTACAAAAAGACCTCTGAAATAAATGAATATTTAATCACAGACTAAGACTATTAAAAACAAGTTTAAAGAAAGAAAAAGAAATTGATCATTTATTTAAAGTCCTTTTTGGCTGCT